TATGTATGTATGTATGTATGTATTGGACTAGGTGTGTGACTCAGTGGGAGAGCACTTGCCTAGCATGTACCAGGCCCTGGCTTCTATCCCCAGGACCACCAAAAACCAAAAAATATGTTGACTGAACAATAACAGTTCACTACAGGGATGTACCAGTGTTTAATGATTCCCTTTCTGTTGGAATCTTAGGTGGCTGAGATATTTTTTGCTATTATAAACACTACTTGAACAAATATCCTTTGTATGCACATGACAGGAAGGAAAAATAATTTTTTTCATATTCTTAGCTAGGACATCTATAACAAAACAAATCAACGGGAGGAAAAACAGACAAGCTCTTCAATACATGTGGTACACATTGTGCCTAGCATGCAAATAGATCTAATTATGCCGGATTGCACTATCCTGTCAAGTAACTCAAAAGCAGCAGCTCAGACCTATCTTTCTCAGCACGTGCAGTCAAGAGCAGTAAATGGGGTAGGGGGGCACTGACAGGACTTAAAGGAAAAAAGTCGTCAGGTTTCCAAGGATAGGGGTGTGGAAAGGGGTAAGGTTTGTTTTCAGATTCTCCTGCCACACTCAGCACTGAGCAGAGCATAGAACTCCTGCTAAATCTCTTAAATCCCGCCTTTAGGCAAAAAAGTGAGGAGATACAGGATGAGCTTTTGCTTCATTTGATTTTTCAGAATTGCTTTCAGCTCAAAAATAATTTTTTTTTTTTTGTCAAAATGACATATTTTGAGCTGGACGCCAGGCGCATGCCTATTATCCCAGCAACTTGGGAGGCCAGGGCAAGAGGATCACAAATTTGGGGCCAGCTGGACAATTTAGTAAGACCCTGTCTCATAATTAAAAAACAGCTAAAAAGTGACAGTGTGAGCCGGGGATTTAGCTCAGTGGTTCTGCCGCCTGCCTCTCAAGTACAAGGACCGGAGTTTGATCCCTGGTACCAAAAAAAAAAAAAAAAATGTAGCAGTGGTAGAGCCCTCGCTAGTAGGCCTGGCATGCGTGAGCCCTGGACTCACTCCTCAGTGGCACACACACAAAAAAGCATACTTTGGAATGACATATTTTGAGGTTTCCTACTTGTCATTTAAATACTTATGATACATTGCTATATTACATTTATCTTTTTATTAAAAATTTAAGGTGGGGGATTTAGCTCAGTGGTTCCAGTGCCCGCCTCGCAAACACAAGAGCCTGAGTTTGATCCCCAGTACCCCCCAAAAAAAATTTTTTTAAAGCTTTTTTTGTGTGGTGCTGGGGATCAAACCTAAGGCTAAGTATTTGCTAGGCAAGCACTGTGGTATTGAGCACACCCCCAGTCCTAAATTATGTTTGTTGTTTGTTTATGGTAAAGTTTTGTGTTTATTAAAGGTAGGAAAATAAATACACTCCACAGAGAGAATTTGGGCCAAGTAAAAGGAAAATGTACATTCTGCAGTGTGAGAGCAGACTGCTTATGGAATTGAACACGGTACTTGTCCTAAATTAGGTTTATAAATAGGCTAGTTGCTTATATTTAACATCTCTAAAGCTGAGTGCACCTTTATTATGGTAAGGAGCCCACGGAAGCTGGGAACACTTTCCTGTCTCAGGGGTGGTAGTTCTCCCCCCTCCACAACTCTCAGTAGCCTTCATCAGTCTAGAGGGCAGCTCAAATATCTGCCTCAGTGGGTAAAGTTCAAACCTGCTTTTCTAGTTAAAAATCTTACCGAGTCCCTTAAACAAGCGTTAATCACACGTGTTGTATTTGTGACTTGAGGCCGCCCCACTTAGAAATCAAATACCTTCTTATTCTTGTGGGTAAAATGTCGCTTCTTTATTCTAAATAGAAAAGCTCAGCTCTGGAGCTTGACTAATTTGTACTGACAAGTCATTTTATCCCTTAACATTCCTGTAGCATCTGGTGAAACTCCTTTCAATCAGAACAAATATATATATATATATATATATTTTTTTTTTTTTTGTTTTTTTTTTTGTTCCAGGGAGTGAGCTCGGGTCCTTGTGCTTGGAAGGCGGGCCACCGAACCGCTGAGCTAAATCCCCAGCCCTCAGAACAAATATTTTAAAAAATTAAATGACATGTGTTTTAGAGTTTTGGGACTTTTGGGCTTTATAATAATTGAAATAAACCTGAACTATTTTTAGTCCTGACTTTTAAAAACAATTTGGTTTTTTTTCTTTTCTGCCGTTTGTTTATAATTTCTATACCATGGGGCCGGGGATTTAGCTCAGCGCTTTGGTGGCCTGCCTTGCAAGCACAAGGACCCGAGTTCAATCCCCGGAGCCAAAAAAAAAAAAAATTCTTTACCTTTTTGTGTGCATGTTTCATTGTTGTAGAAGTTTATTGCGATATAAGAAATGTTATTTATTCATTGAACCAACTGCTAGACACATTTAAAATTATTAAAACAGAGACCAAAGGGTACATGTTGGAGAAATATGTGGGGTTTTGTTTTTTTTGGTTCCAGGGATCGAACTCAGGACCTTGTGCTTGGGAGGCAGGCGGCACCACTACTGAGCTAAATCCCTGGCCTGTTATGTCCTATGGGCTTTAGCATTGAGCATTAAAAAAAATTTTTTTTGGTTGGGTTTTTAAGAATGTAGTTTTACTACAATAGTACACAGGATCCTAATGAGATAATTAATAATGTGAAATAGGAAGTAAAGGGCTAAAGGTGTAGGGAAAGTGGGAAGGGTGGGGGAAAGGTAATAAGGGAGAGGAAAAAAATATGAGAAACTGAAAAAATGGAAATAAAGTGTTTGTAAATGGGGAGGGGAGGAGGGGGTGAAGGGAGGGCAGGGACAAGGGGAAAAATGAGAATCAAGACCTATTATGTAAAGGTACAGAATCCCAATGATGAATGTAATTGTATTGTATACCTAGATTGTACCAATAACCTCAATGAAAAGAAAAAAAAATGTAGTTTTATTTTGTTTGGGTGGTTGCTAATGGCTCCCAACAGTTACTTCCATCGATAATTCTCTGGGGCTTTTGTGTAGATTATTCCTTTCATTAAGTTTCTTCTTTTGATGTTTGTTTCTAATACTTACCACGCGATTTTCTGCCTTTCTTTTTCTTTTTCTCTCTCTTTTTTTTTTTTTTTTTTTTTTTTTTTTTTGTACTGGGAATTGAACTCAGGGCCTCAAATTTGCCAGGCAGGGGCTGTACAGCTGAGCTACATCCCTGGAACTAATTTTCTGCCTTGTGCTGCTTCTAAATGTTAGTCTAAGAATTTATTCTCAGCATTTAATAACTTAGTGTTGACAGTTCTCCCAAATTTATAACTGTCCTTTATTTCTCCTCTAGTTGGACCTTTGCAGCTACTGTCTTCTTTCTGGTGCTTTTCTGTCCTTCTGACCCATTTTTCAAACTCAGGGCCTCGCGCTGCTAGATAGGTGCTCTCCTGCTAAGGTCAGCCGGCCTCCTGACCTCCCCAGCCCCTCCCTCCCGCATCAGTCTCCGCCTATGACGGCCTTCTGGGTGCACACTGGGATAACCCCCAACCTCTCAGACTCCGCATGTGCAGAATTGAGCTCTTGTAGCATCCAACTTTCCTCTTGCAGACTTTCTCTTAACAGGTAAGGTAGCTCTTCCTTCGCAAAGGCATCTTTGACTCCTCTCTTCCTTGGACTTGTAGCGACTGTCAGCAAGTACTACCATCAGAATATATCAGAAATTCCGCCACTTTTCACCACCCGCTGCCTCCTCCCT